TTCTCCTGGGTACCATTTTCTAACCATACCTAGTTATTCCTCAAGTTTAGCCCATGTCGTAAGTATAAAAATGAAAGAAATAATTGTTGGCAAAATCTAGGGGTCACTAAACGCATCTTGAGTATTTCCGTCGAGAGCTTTGCTGCATAAAACATCATATGCTCATTGTTGTTTCAGAATAATACCATTTAATTCATGGACCACAGGAAATAAAGAACAAAGAACGATGATGAATAGCGGTGTATGCTTAATCGATCCACTCTGTATGAAGAAATGATCAGTGACTTGGCGCAGCATCTGCCGCTCTGATTTGCTTCCTATATTCAGAGCGAAAAATGAACTATGGAAAAATCAAATTAATCTTTCATAGGAAATTAATACGGACCAACTCTCAACCGTTCGCATTCACGAATAATAAAGTTCGAATATTATTTTGTAAAATGATTAAAATAAAAAGGCTAAAAATTTAATTAATTGCAAAACAATGCAATAAATAATTAAAATAGCAACCTTTTAATAGGTTTGCAACAAATTTCATTTATAATGACACGCTGAAACTTCAAAAAATATAAATTATTGAAATATGTATGATAGAGAGCCGTTTAGTCTGATGCCTGTTTGGCAACAGTTCCATGGCACTGTGAACCTTTAAGACAATCAATCTCAGAAATCAGAACTCTGTCACACTATCTCAGACAACTCGAAGCTGTTCCGCATGGTTCAACGACCTCTTTACAATTCATTGACATGTCCATTCATGCTTCCACCATTCTGTCTATCTAGCCATCGCTCTATTTGTTCGTCTATGTGCCTAAGCGCTGATAAATAAATCTGTCAACCAGTTAGACTATCTGTCAGTTTAAGAACGTTTCGATTTATCTGTCTGTTTATCGATCGATCTATACGTCTGTCTCTGTGTCGGTGGATCTTCAGTCAATCTTGGCCCTTGTGCCTTTGTAGCTCTGTCGTTTATCATGGAGCCACGTTGGACAACTTAGTTAATAGT